AGCCTGAGCATTGTGCTCTTCTACAGCAACAAGCTTCGTAAATTGTTTTAAAGAATACCGTAGGCTTATTCTATAACTGTAGTCCATTGCTAGGCCTGGATCAGGCAACTCAACGGCGAAAAGCTTGCTGTCGAGCCTGGGATTTACAACAGCAGTGGAAGGCCCTTTCTACAGCAGTTGCTGTTGGTTCTGTGGGAAAATTTGAACCCTGCTATTGTAGATTTTATAGATGCATAAAGCTAAGTACTTGGTAGGTAATGTAGGCAAGTTGCAAGCCACTGCTAATGCCCCAAGTATTATAAGACCACACCAGTAATATAATAATTAAAATTTAGATGCATGTGGCTAATAAGTTTTGGTAGGCAAGTAGGTAGGTAAGTAGGTAGGTTGCAAGCAATCCCTATTCATTTACTACTATTATACCCGAGTATAAACCCACCCAATTTCAGGCTTGATTTCAGATGCTAGCATTTGTCCGAGTATACATTGGAGTTGAAGACATAGGCCTTCTCTTTTGATATGCTAAAAAGAAAAAAAAATCAATATTTTATTAGCTTTCAATTAAAAATGACAATGATGAAAAATTATATTATAAATGGATAAGTTAAACCACAGACCCTATTATACAAAATAGGGTCTATGTTTGGACCATCAAAAATTTAATTGTCTGGGTGTTGTCCTAAGTTGAAGCCCACACCCCCAATTTCAGTGGATTCTGTAGCCAGCATTCCACACCCAGTCCCATTCCTGGACTTGTACTCAGAATAATAGCAATGAAAGTTCTGTTACGTGGATGATGATCAGTATAATCCAATCAATCAGCTAATCAAGTATAAGCCTATTACTGTAAATATATATATTTTTTTAAAGACAGAATAATGTATACTGTATGAAGACTCAATGCCACTCATCATGTTATAGGGATGTAAGGGATGATGTTTGAATTTGTCCTTATTTCCATCTCTATGGTCAGTGGCCTATCATTCCATTTTCATTATCTCATGAGTCATGGTACAAGTTTGTGGTTATCAGTGGTCAGTGGTCACATACTGTAGTAATTAATGATGTACTATATGTGCTGGCTAAGTTTGTTACCAATTATCTTATCTAATTTACTCTCAATGTCATACATAATTTACTAATGTATTTTAATTATTATATTTTTTGTTTCACAGATAATAGATACAGTATTATCAATTTCTTAATTCTTAACATAACAATACATAAAAGAACATCTTTAGCGCTGCTATTAAAGTGTTAATTTTCTGTATATCACTATTTTGAATTTTATCCAGTCCAGTGATGTGAATGCGTTCTAGAACAGAAATTGCTTCTTTTTTTTATGAAACAATAATAATCTTACAACTCTCCAGGGGATATATTTTCCAACTTTCATATCATTTTATCTTTCTGCTTTCTACTTAAATATAAATTCTATGGTTTTTTAATCACATTAACATCTAAAGATAGTGAAGTAATCAGCATTAAAAAGTCATTGTAATTGTTGATACATTAACTTGTTAGCTTATTATTGTATTATATCAAACAGTAAATACTCAATTAGTTGTCAAATTAAATTGTGTTGAACTGATCTTGCTCCCTTTATTGAATCTAGTGCACTACAAGTACAAACAACTAGTACACCCATTATTGTTGTCTTTATTATTATATATCATTACATTAATGTTATATAATCAAATAACCATTCTTTGCACTCAATAAAAAAAAAAAAAAAAAAAAAAAAATTTTGGCTCTTGCTAACAAATTGGTACATTATGATGTTTACTTCAGTTCAACACATCATAAATTACTATAAATATGCCAGGAAATAGTTTACATTATATTATGAGATTAATTTTTAGAATGAAACTGGTCTTCTATTAATTACAGTATTATCTTTTCTATTTAATGTAAATTGTTTACACTAGGCAGTTTCAATATTGATACATATTTTACTCATAGACACAGTCCCTGTCATATATTTTGGTACTATACCGCTGTATAATTTGGTACAATGTTATTAAAATAAATGGTGGGCAACACTCAGTTACGAAAGTGTACCCAATATACAGTAATTCTTTTAAGGCGCACCATTGGTTTTTAATAGGGTTAGAATGCCAATAATCTACGGTACTCTAAACCTGGGCATAATCTGCACTGATGGTCATTGGCTGATGTAATTTCATGTGCAACAGATTGTTTTTAATGACAGATCTGCTCAGACTGCAACAAGCACTACGGAGTAGAGATGCATTCGTCGAAGGACGATTAGACACCGTTGTACAATTCAGTTTGTGCCCTGCTTAAAACAGGTCTTAGCTTTTCAGAATGGTTTGCTAATGCTCCAAAAAATATAGGCCCCCAAGTATCAAAGATTTTTTCAAGATTAGTTACAAATACTGTAGGCCCCAACAACTATCTGATACCAGCTTACAATCAGAACCGTAGGTCCTGTGAAAATACTTTTAAATTGAGTGCGAGTGGGTTTAGAGTAAGGTACTCGCCTACAAAACCACATCATGCTTGATTACATTGTTCTACAGTTTTTCTAAAGTCGTGCCAGAAAAAATGTACATAAATTTTTCTAAAATGGATTGTAAACATAATTTATCCCCAGGTACGTTATTTATTGCCTTTCCTGTGTACAACTTCCTTGTCACTATGGCAACCTTTATTGCCACAATACACTATATTTTGATATATGGAGCTAAGCAGTTGTTTCTACACCGATGGTTACATTCCATTCCAAGCCGGTGAATCATAGAAATTGCTGGAACATTTAAGCGTAGCTTATGATACTGTAGTATATTTAGATAAGGATTTAAGTAGTCTATGCGTGAGCAATGGATAGTCTTTGATATTAATAATATGAGTTATGATGCATCTCTTTTTGTTGTACAGTAGTCCTACTTTCTAGCATTGTCTTTATATTTTTAAAACACTACACTAAACTTCAAACTTTATGGATATTCAAAAAAAATTGTAAAATTGTAGGTATTAAAAGTTTTAATTAATTGTTCACCCCACTGCCCACCCCCACTTTAAATATGGTATAGTCCATTTTGGGTGATTTTTGTCCAGGTGATTTTTGTAAAGGGTGGTTTTTGTCCTACATTCGTCTATCATACAGTGATGTGCCATTTCTTTTGTATTGGCTCGTTTTTCTATATTTATTCATAGCATTTTCCAGCATATTCGAAATGCCCTTCAAAAAATAACTGTTTGTTAGAATAAGTATTTTATTTCAATATGTTAGTGAACACATCATCATGTGTATGTGAGAGGAGATTGAATTAATATTGCATTGTAAAATTGTTTACAGTATATTATTACACATTATTTAAAAAGCTGTCATTTATCAATTTTGAAGTTCAGTTTAGTTGTCATGTACATGCATGTGAGTGAGTGAATGCATGCAGGCATGGATTAGTAGTGAATACAGGCGTTAAAATTAATTTTATCGTTTTTTAAGGCCAATAAAAGAAATTATTATTAGTTTATCATTCTGTTTATCTAGGCAGGAAGAGTGATAAGGGAGTGAGGCTTTTTATTAATACAAACAATATCTACTAAATATTACAAACAAATGGAAAAATTAAAAAAAAAAAATTTTTTTTTAATTTTTTTTTCCAGATTTGTTTTTCCCAATTAAGACATGCAGGCAGGGATAATAAATTAATCAATGTTTTTTTATTGGGCCTTATTCATAGGCACAAGGGAAATACATGGGAAAAATTATCATAAAAGTCCTACCAGTTTGAATTTTGGAGTTGTACTGTAGTATCATTAACATTTTTCTATAAAATAATTCATAACCTTTTTGCCATGTGACCTAGTTTTGCTTAGTTTGCACATGGAGGTATATAAAGTAAGAATTTTATTGCAAGTAATCAATGGTACATAAATACATCATTCTTATAGTACTTAACAGCCAGTGTCCAAACAACTGCGAGTGACAATCATAAAATGTATACTCAATCCCTAAAACTGAGTAAATTTCATGCAAAATGCTAACTTATTTTTAACATCAAGAGATTTACAATGATTGTGTCCCAGTAATAATTTTAATTATAATTATAGGACCAAGTAAGTAATATGAATTTAAAATCAATACAAGATAGGTCATTAACTAAAACGAAACCACCAAAAATTTATAATATTGCAGTATAATTATTTTGTATGGAAGTAGGAATTATAATTTGAATCATTACACACATTGGAATATATTGTGCTCTCTTTACAGTTGTTTTGAAGCCTTCTTCGTAGGTAAATTGTACAGTCATATGATTGTTTACCAACTGTTATATTTTCTGAATAAACAATGTGAGTGTACAGTACTTCAAAGAACAGTTTGAATACCAACACACATTGATTTCACTTTCTGTGTGTGTTGTATTATGCAATCATGATTTTCAAAATTGCAATAGTACTGTATTTCACTTTAAAGTAATTATATTGTATACAGTAATCAGTAGTTACTGATAAATTTTGTTTTTTTAATATTTTTTTCCAGATTTGTTTTTCCCAATGCTATAAAATACATGCGGGTGGGGATGATAAATAAATTTTTTTTTTTTGTATTAAAAACAAACCTTGATCGGCCATTTTGTTGTATTCCTAGTGCACTGAGTTTTGTAGTTATCTTTTAATATCGCTATTTCCGTAACTTATATTGTATCATCCCGTATTATTTTGGAATGGCACTAATATTAAATAATCTGTTTACCATATATCATAAGTTCACTGTCATTTTCGAATCACAAGTTATAAAAATCAGCATTTTAAAATCCTCCGGAGCATAGGCCTAGGCGTCGGTATACCGCCGTACACGTACGTACGTTGTTAAATCACTTGTTTGTAGAAGAAATGTATGAGACCATATCCACGAGTAATATTACTTTTAAAGTTAGATTAAGTGACTTTCAAGTTTGCATAAATGCTATAACTGGCCTAATGATTATCGTCTCTTAATGGTTTTCAAATCTTTTTTTCATTTTTAGATTTATCCAAGGCCCAGAGAAGTTTCTCAGAGACGCTAGTGAATTTTAACTTTGAAAGTATAGGCCAGTCACAAACAGATGACGAGATTGATATTTGTAAGTAAACAGTAGCTTAAGGTTGAACTCTGATTTTCTATATTTGGGTATGTTATGCCCATATATAGATGTGATGTCATTAGGTTCATAGGTAAATGACAGTATCTTAAACTCTGTCCACACTATAATATGTCATGTGACAACCTGTGATCTTCTATATTTGGGTATGTCATGCTCATAGATATGTGATGTCATCAGGTTCAAGGAAATCATACTATCTTAGAGCTCTGTCCACACTATAATAATATTCTATATTTGGGTATGTCATGCTCATGTGATGTCATCAGGTTCATAGGCAAGTCACAATATCTTAAGGTCTGTCCACACTATAAAATGTCATAAAATGTCATGTGACAACCTGTGATATTCTATATTTGGGTATGTCATGCTCACAGATGTGATGTCATTAGGTTCATAGGCAAATCACAGTGTCTTAAACTCTATTCACACTATAAAACGTTATGTGACAACCTGTGAATAAAACTTGGCGAATTGCCAGTTCATCTTGTCAACCCCGAAAATCCAGCATTGGACAATGTGCGTGCCAATCAGAACACATTAAAGTGTGTTAAAGGTTAACCTCGTGGCAAATGTTAAAAAGCTGTGAGCAACAGTGAGTAAAAAAAAGTCTAGCATGACTACCCTTACTTAATTCGGCAAGGTAGTGATTTCTATAGTTCCATTAGCATTGGATCGCTTAGCAGGTTCTGCTTCAAATTTCAGTAAAACAATGTGATTTTTATGTAGAAAATCGTAATAATTTGTACATGATTTGTCATCGATATTACTATTTAAAAGAAGAAAATTCCTACTGCCAGAACAATAGTGTCAGATCAAAATACTCCGAATTGGAAAGTAAACCAGTATAATTACTGTCTGCTCCCCTCCTCTCTTAGGGGAAAATGTAGGCTGTAATGACATCAAAATTCGAACTTTCTGAAGGCTATACTAGGTTACCTAGCTAAGCTAGCTAAACAAGGTTTTTAAAACATGATCAATCTATTATTAAGGTAGGAAATAACAAAACAATAAAGTTTTAACATTGTTTATTAGTAAATTGCAACATTGCTCCCACGTTGAAAGCTGGTAAACTATATTTCAATATTGTTTACGCATTGTTTATCAGCCCGAAGATCCATCCTATGATCAATGCAAAGCTAATTAAAATAACAATGACCTTCGTAGTGGTTCGTAGCTATGTTCAAAACTTACCTACGAGCAGATTACGAGAGGTACACGCAGATATGAAGCGATAATTCATAGCTGCACTATATTTTTCATAATTTAGAAGTTTAGTTTTCCTCTGAGAGAACTATTACAGTAAGTTGTCTCAGGTTTCGTTCATGCATGTAACCTTGTCAGTGGTAGTAAAATAAAAGATGATCCCTAGATAGGATTACAGACTTAAGTGTTATTACTTTATTACGTGATCCCTAGCTATAAAGGATGTTGATGTTACCTTTGTATAAACATAGTTTACCTAGACACACCTACTGTACATGTGCTATAATCCTTTAAGTAGGTTCCTTTAACATCACACAGTAGTAACTGTAGTGTGGTTATGGTATGTTTTTATTCCTGGGATTATAGTTCCAATAGCTTCTATTTCAATGTATTGAAAGATTCACTCCCACCAAATTCATTTTAAACAGATCAACCCTTTGTAAAATCCGGTACTAGGTTACCTAATTTAAGAATATGGTAATTTTTATTGTGTTATTTTAACAATGCTTTTCGTAATGGGAAGCATCATTTTTTTGTTGGCTGGGATTTTTATATTGTACTATTCGGTAAGTTTAGATTTGACTGATAAAAATCCATTAATATTTTACTTTGAAAATGCCAAGTACGCCTATTCTTATTTTCTACACACATTCCTGGTTGGCAATTTATTATTGATTTTGGTATTTAAAAACAAAATGTAACAAAAATTATTTTCAACAGTGTAAAATTCCTAACCTTTACTTGTTTTACGCAGAGACATCGGTATGCAATAGAATGATAGTGGCACTCAAAATCAGTACTCGACAGCAGCATAAATGACTATTTTAATTCCATGTGGTGGTGCACGCTGAACGCATGAATATACAACAGCGTGAATATTATGTGCGTGACCATGTTTTTCTCGCGCTGTGTAAAGGGATTTTATTTATTTATTTATTTTAACAATATTTTGTGAGGGTGGTCCATCCAGCCGGGGCTGATCATTTGGGACCCTCAAATACATACAAAGCAAAAACAATAGAGTACAATTACAAAAACAAAGTAAATAATTAAAAGACTTTAAATAGAATTAAAATAAACCTAATAAACAGAAAAAAATTTAAAACGTAATTAAAAAAAACCAATAAATATCAAAGTTAAATATAGCTTATAACTTACAGGTTACTACCTGTAGAATGTGATAAAATATTTTGTCATGGTTTTTTTTTATAATTTTTTCGCTAAACTAGGCCAAATAAAAAAGATTATTAGTTTCTCTTCCCATCGTGCATCCATATTTTTTGCCTTACCAATTTTTGATATTTTTAAAAATTTTCTTTATTTAACGAAATGTATGAAAATCTGGCTAACTTGCATCAGTAAAAATTCCTCTCTCGATCATTTGTGGTTGGGGATACATATGGTATGAATCATGTCTTGTGCTTCTCTTACTTGTTTTCAATAGCAAATAGTAGCTGTTTCCCATCAACAATCTTGGATTTGCCATCTTGTAGTAAAAAAAAAAGGTGCCCTCATCCTTTTTTCAAAACATTAGGATGAAAACTACTTTTCTTTTTAGTACCTTTTGCTTTCATTCATTCTTGATGTTTCAAGTAAAAGCCCAATAAAAATATACATTTCTTTTCCACTTTCTCATCCTGTTTTTTCAGCAAGTTAATTATGTAGTTAAACCTGCGTAAGTCAAATAATTTCTAAGTCGATCTAATTTCATATGGCAAATTATTGTATTTTCCATTAATTAACAATCTAAAAGTTGAATTTTATCGAAGTTGAACAATTTTTCAATGGCATTATGGATTTGACTTAGGCAAGTTCAACTGTCGATGTAAAAAAATTAAATAATAGATTGGATGTATTCAGTGTTATTTTCACAGCATCCTTTCTGGGATTTTTTGATTTCTGACCAATGGTTATAATTGTTGTAATCTTTGTTGAATATTTTTAAAAATAATTTCATTTTTAAAGAAATTTAACCCGGATATAACTCTTCAGGAAAAATATTTACACGGTTTACCAGGAGTAAAAAGCATAAAAATTGTGTATTGGGCTAATAAATCTCTGTCTTTGTTGTTATGCAGGGTAGCAGAAAACTTGCCCTAAATTGTTATCCTAGGCTTTTAAAATTTGAAGGTAATACATCAGAAAGTATTTATGTTGGTAATGCTGACTACTATTTATGAAAGTATTTAACAATACAGCAAGTGGATATACAGTAATAGGGATTGTAGTGTAACAATACCCACAGTATACTTTTCAGCTATTAGGAAGTATACTGATACATAATGATGATAACTCCTATCAATTATATGATGACACTGTGGAATGTCTGCTATCATTTTAAAGACACTACAAAGGTATAAACTTGAATAGTTGATTGTGTTTGTATTCAATATTCACAGAAAATTGAAAATTGATGGTAATTTGAATACCAACCATTTCAATTTTCAGTGGTTAAAATTTTGTGAGGAGTTTCTCCGATCAAATGCCCCCTCCCAAAAATCAACTTGGTTTCATGTTGAAGGAGGTGGGCTTACAATGAAGAAACTACGGTATTCTTTAATAACAAAAAAATTAAAAAGTACAATACGTTGAAAAAGATTTTTGAGATTTTGTAAATGTTATTGATTTTACAGCTCAGTCTTTGAAAGAATTTGGTCGTCTTATTGGATCAGTGGAAGATGTAAGGGATAATGTGGTAAGTCCAGTTGTATTCAGTATTTTCTCTTCATTCAAGACCTTGACTGATGGATTGCTATCGAACTAATAAATTTATCTATTTGTTGTGTCTTCCACCAGTTGAAACACCTGTAAACAACATGAATATATAATTTTTGTAAAATAATTATAAATATTAAACAACTATTAATAACATAACGCTATGAAAATTCATGATTGTTAAATCATTGTTCCAGAGGGTTGCAAATAGTGACACCATCTGTGTGAGAGACCAACAATAGTTGATGTGGTTGACTTCGATAACCATTAGTTTATTTAAACAAATTCAAAGAAGATACAATTATGCAAAGTTAATATTAATATATATATATATATAATACAAAATATTGATTTTATTGAACATGTATTTGGTGACTGTCTTCATCCTTACACTCAGATTCTAGAGTGGCTGCATTTACAACCAACCTCCTTACATTTCTTCAATAATTTTTATCATCTCTGCTTGGATACCTTGCCTCTTCTTCTGGTTTATTCAGTATTTTATCCTTTAAGAAAGTATGTCAGGTGCATGTACTTGACCTTTTAGGTCAACCTTAGGCTGTATTGATCTATAACGGCACTGACAGTGACTGGAGATAAAAAAAAGGTGTTGATGCATCATTTTAATTTTTTGTTAGGGACCGCCATATATTTATTTTTTAACGTAGCTCGTCCTGATGTTGCCAAGATGCTTAAATCATTCATGATAAGTGGCTGGGTCAGATGCAGAGGTGTTGCAGAGGGTGCAGTCGCACCCCCCTAAATTGTATTAAGAAAAATAATTGTTGTATTGTATTGTTGTAAGATATGAGAGTGCAATTTCCGGGGACCTAGAGGCAGATGCAGATCCAGACCTTCGCACCGTTCGCAAGTATAAAGTGATAGCAGTGCCTGGTAGTCTGGCGAATTCCAACTCTTTCTGTCAGAAATGCCACCAACCTAAACCAAAGACAAAAATATATAGACGAAATAAACTTTTTGAATTGTTTAAGTATTAATCAAAGAGGGACTGTAATTAAATCGGCTGCGCGATAACGTACGGTACACTGTTCAGTTCTTTTATGTCACAATGTATGGTTAATACAAAATCAATCAAAGGGAGGTTAGGCTATACATGTGCGTTGATTCTTATAACCTTAATGAAAGGCATATATAATTTTATTATATTTTGTTATTCCAAAATTTCACCAAAGTGAAGTTTCCAGGCCCGAATATCTAGTAGGTGGGGTGTTACGAAGAGTTTGTATAACGTACCCAACCAAATTTGATAAGGTCCACATTGCCAAGACAGTTGAGAATGTACTAAATATAAATTTGTGATTTTCTGCGATTTAAAAATAAAATCTTCAATTTTTACATTTTAACCAATAGGCCTAATCTACTCAGTCTGGTGATTCGGAAAAACGCAATTTATTCAATTTTGAAATTTTGGCTTAGGGGCACCCTGTGGTTATAATCTATCATGGAACGTGATCATACTCCAAACAATTTTTCGAAATATGAAATTATTATGAGAGCATTATATCCGACTGTCCAACCACTAAGCTTTGAAATATTGAAAATCAACAAATCACAGAAGACATTTATGCACTTCCACGTCGGCGCATGCACTCAAAAAATATTTTTATATTTATTTTTTTGGATTTAACATGGGTATGATTTTGATAAACAATCATAATTCTCTGTACTATCTAATAAACATTTAAAGATTGGACTTCCTTATGTTGTGGTTATATTAGACTATAATATTTTTAAAGAAGACCATTCAACAAACAGCATAAAACAAAATTCCCACTTCAGCGCATGCATAAAACATATAATTTCCTGAAATTTAGATATATAGCAGACTTCCTTATGATTTAGGCCCAAAGAAATATACAATGTATGGGTCTGTTGGTGACAAAGTGTTCTTCCTTATGTTGTGGTCATATTAGAATGTAATATCATTAAAGACCATTCAACAAACAACATGAAACATATCAAACATAATGTTAGACCCTCCGCTTCCGAGCATGCATATAATGTAATTTGTTATTTGTTTAGATATATATGATATTTTCATGACAGTCGAGAATGTACTGATTATATAAATAGATAATTACTATTGTCCGATTGTGTGCATTGAAAATTGACGACAAACTCGGGATACGGGCCTCGGTTGACACTCATATCAAAGGGCCTGTTAATTAACCTTGCAATTGCACAGGAGCTTGTCGTCACCTGCTACGATGCCTCCTCCTCTTCCTTATCATCATTATCATTATCATCATCTTCATCATCGTAATTATTAATTGTCCATGGTAAAATGGGGGAGAAGTGAGTATTCATTCATCAATAGACATCTTGTAATGCACGTCAGTACATTTCTGAGCATCTCGAAAAAACAAAAATTTCTGAAGTTAGGAGAACCCCAAGACTATCGCAAACCACCCCGTCCCACGTTTAAAATAATCTTCCAGCGACGGAACAAGCAAACATTAATTTCTCTTCCCATGACCCCGCCCACTGAGGGACCCCATTATTTGCTATAGTCGGGGTTAAGCTCGGACGGGAAGGTTGAACCTGGTTCAACTTTTCCGATTGCGTTGCAGACGCGAACGAATCAGGGTGCATTGCTAGTGAACGACAACTGTCACTGATAGGGTGAGCGATTCTATGGAAACCCAGCTAAAATTCTGGAACCGTGCCAGATCCTTCATCGCCCCAGATTGGGAACCTGGATAATAAAATTTGACAAATTCTGCACACGATTTTTTATGTTTCTGTTGCTGTTCTTGTGGTCAAATTTACTCAAAATGCCCCATCTCTAGCAGCAGCAACAAATTTACAGAATATAGGTCTCCCTCCAAATTAACATTTCAACGAGATTTAATTGACAGATAAACCGACTAATCAGCGAGCGTCATTTAGTCGCGTGATCAAAAACTTTTTCTCAGACATTTTAATTTCCTTAGACAGCTAGTTTAAATGCGAAACATACGTGAGCCTAGGCCTAGATGTCTATGCTTGGTTATAGATACCCAGATTTACACGAGCAGTGCGCATCAGTGACTTGGCCTCTGCCGACAACAAGGTTGACTGAATGCGGCTTTTCCCTCTTCCTTTGGGAGCGAAATACAGAGGCTATTACAACAATTTCCCCGCCATGTTCCATGAAATATATTAACACTATGAATGTATATAATTCATTTGCATACCGCCTACCCTGAATTCTCTTTCTTAAAGAAGGTCGATAGCAAAGAAAATCTTCGCCAACTCGGTAAGTCTAGCCGCCATTGTCTAAGGTTTTCGTGACTTTATGGGCGGGGCTTCGCGTCTATGTCGACATGTCAATTAAAGGCAACTGAAGAATGCCTTTCTGTAGTCCCAAATTAATGTCTACCTTTTATCTTTATGATAATAATTTTTCTAATTAAAGACCAAAGCTGTTAAGGCCATGAAAACCCCAGTCCCAATAATGGTCTTTAATAAGAGGGATACGTGCAATTTTTTGGATAGCATTCATTCGTACTGTATTAATGAAAAATTACATAATTTATAAAATGAAATACAATTTCAGCTGTGGAAATAGCTTGTTGGCTTGTTGATGAATAATTCCTACATTATTAATACTTAATTGGCTAGTGTCTCTCTTCTGGTTTATTCGATGACAGGTTTTAAAAATAAGGATCTGTCCACACTATCAAATTTCCTTTGACAAAAAAACTGTTTTATGCCATATAGAGATGTAGTTGAGGTGGGTGGGGGCCAACCAGCCATGAAGTTTCCCACCCAGTCCAAAGCTTAATTTCATGGCCCTCCACCTACTCTTATTAACCCTGCTTTTCCATCCTTAAAATTCACTCTTATTATTTATCACCCACTCACACTAAAAATTTCTATCACCCCACCCTTAGTTGTCTACAACTACAACCTTGCCCATATATAGTCATGATGTGCCTATATATGGTCGTGATGTGATGTCATCATGACCATATTTAGGCATGGCAGATGCTAATATGTGAAATAAAATTTGAATGTCTGGACAGGATTTTATGCTGGAATAGGTTTTAGTTTGGTTTGTGAAGATTTTCACAGTGTTCACATTTTGTGTTATGGGAATTGTAGTCATTATATTCAAGTTACAATATGAGAAATACTAATAGTATTTATCAACCATGTTTCATGTGCGAAAAATTCACCACACATATTATTGACCTTTCGATCTTTTCAGTGGTGCTTAGTTGCATCATAAATTGTTTACTACATTGCATGCTGGGAAAGTATGCTGGCTAACTCAAGTAAATGCTACTTTGCTGTACTTTCGGTGCACTGTATTAATATACAGGTACAAACAATAATCATCCAAGGAAGTTGGGCATTTCTATCATTTTTGTTTATGCAAGTCATGGTTATGTTTTGTGATAACATACTCACTGATTCTTCTGCTCTATTGTCAATATCACATGGTTTATAATTGTTAAATAAATATAGACAGTAGTACAAACGAGATTAGTCCTTGACCTTAGCTGACCATTTAGAGACCAGTGATGTGTGGTAAATTATTAAGCTGGTAATTTTTTTTTTTGCAAGATCAATGAATGTGACATTTGCATGATGAAGTTTTCTTGGCCTTAGCTGAGCATTTAATGATGTGAGAAAAATGGCCATGATACCTGGATAAACCACAGTCTTAGCCTCATCTGGTTATTTTATTGATGCGAGAAAAGCAGTGTCATACCTGGTTAAGTGGCTGCTGCCATCTCGCATTATTTGATGATGCAAGATAAATAGGTAGAATATCTAGTGAAGTCCTTATCTTTAGCTGGTCATTTGATGACGGTGGAACAATTTATTTATTTATTTGTTCTACAATAAATACGAGAAAAAAAACCCTCTTTTCTTTAGCTGAGTTACTATGGGAGTTGGGTTAATACACGGCACCCGGTGAAGTCTTCTGTTTATAATACACGTACCCAGTTAACAGCCTTCTGTATATTAAATATTAAATATTACTCAATACAAGGTAGGTGAATGTACCAAGTAAAAATGCCTACCACTTAATAGGCT